TTTAACTTCTTGTATGTAGATGTAGAGAAATTCGAACACACGACCACAGGCTAATGAGCCAGACACTGAGCTTCCAATTCATTAAATATTTTCTTCTTTTTTTTTACTTCTGTTTTTCAATTCCGAGTTACCCGATAGGTAACTCTTTGAGCACCAGAAGGTTTTAAACGCCGAATAGCATAAAAAAAAAAAAAAATAGGAAAACCACGAGTGTATTACTTTCAAAGAAACTGAATATTAGGGAAGCCAGATTTTAGCATGTCCAGACCAAATGTAAAAAGTACAAGAAAACACTATATGCTGTAATGGATTATTAAAAAAGAGCTATTTACACATCACACGTAGCTTGCGACTAAAAGAGTCAAACACCATGACAACAGAAGAGGCAACACATACACACATCTCAGTCTCAATGGCTACACAACAGGCGGGATGTCAAATACCCCGAACAACCGCCAAAGAAGCAATAATCGAGGAAAGCCTGGTGGTTTTAGGTGGGTAAGGACGCTACCCGATGTTTTCTTCCAAAGATGGTAAACCACCAGGTTGCGTATGCTGATTTATTATCAGCTTTTCAATGCTTATAAGATTCTCCGAAAACTTGCCAAAGGCCTCTTTCGCATACCCAGTTTGACTAACCATCCACCAATACTGTTTCCTTGTAAAGGGCCGAATTACAGAATTACCGCCCATTTTATTTGGGCATGGGCCTAAAGCTCAACAAATATTAATAACTGCTGCTCTGCTAGTATTGATTGCGCCCCCTGCCAAGGGATTCTGTAATGTTATAAATTTGAGAACAATTTCTGAACAAACATTCACATTTTTTGCTCTCATTTTTTTGCCAGAAAGGCGGCTGGGTTAAGTTTGGAACCAGGGAGGGAAGAGGGGTTCTGCAGGGTCTGATGACCTCCTGGTCGATATTTCTGAGCAATTTGGTCAAGTTAAAATGGCAGAGACAAGAGGCAGCATGGGGTATACAGGTTAGTTGCGTATCCTTTACAGGACGTTGCAGAACCAACCCTAACAGCCCCTGGCTTTTGTGTGGTTTTTCTAGGCAAATTTACGTCCACTGCTTACTGGACGGTCGGCTTTCTTGATACCACTGTCATAACCAAGGCAAGGCGCATGGCAGGCAGCTGGGATCGAACCCGGCATCCCGGCATTACGAAGCGTCCGCATCGACTTAGGCACAAAGCCGACGGGTACATAGAGAGAGGTTTAAAAAAAAGTGAAGGATCGCAGTCGTATCGAGGTAAACTCGAGGGCTTTCCACAACTTCAAAGTAGGCCTGTGCCAACGACGCCAAAGATCCCAGATCCTTAAGCCGGCTGGCAGGCGTCTAGCCAACGCGCTATCGTCCGAATAAAACACCATATGGGGCTATCTTAAACAGATTAAAATACTATCGGTCAATATATATTTCTGTAGCTTTTAATATTAGTTATGAGTTAATATAAATGTGTGTAACCTGTAAATGCTAAGGTCCTTTTCCCACGTTTTAGGCGTATAAGGAATATAGCGCTAAACCTATATTTGTATAGACCAATCGGTACTTGGTGGGTGATGTGGTCAGCATCACGCCAGCTGCCTTTACTTCCCAAGACTGCACCTGCTACCCACTCAAGCTGTGTCGAAATGGGAGTCAAGGTGATAAAAAAAAATCCGGCTCCGTCAGGACGCGAACCCACTACCTTCTGATTCGCAGGCGGGCGTCTAGCCGCCAACGCCACGGCGACTCCCGTCACGTATACCGTGCCATGGGTTGATACAAACTGCTGTAACCTGTGGGACTATGTCAATGGTTGCAGGTGATTCTATCCCTAACCCATAGTTTAGTGGGTTCGAGCTCTATGACAGACATCACTGAAGACAATTGTTTTAAGGGTGTCTAGTCGGCCATGCGTCGTAGAAGTACACTTGCTCCTGCAGCCAGGCACTGTCGTCATTTGGAGGTGACAGGTTCGATTTCCAGCAGGGTAACTATCAACACCGTCCTAATCAGTCAGTAGGTCTTTTACAGAACGTCGCTCTCGTCGCGGAAATTATGAATGTCTCTTTTTCTAGCCAATTCACCAGCCCTATGTGCTTTCATAGCCAATGCATCTATTGTAACTATTATGAAAAGTTAAAAAAATTAAGGTCCTTTTTCCACGCCTTTAGGTGTATAGGGCATATAGGGCTGGACCTATATTTTAAAGACTAATCGGCACAATATGGGTGATGTGGTTAGCGTCCCTCCAGCCACCTTTACTTCCCGGGACTGTACCCGGTACCCACTCAAGGCTGGGTCGACCTGGGAGTCAGGGTAATTTAAAACAAAAATTCCGGCTTTGCCAGGATGCGAACCCACGACCTTGCAAACCGCACGCGAGCGTCTAGTCGCTGCGCCGTGGCGACTCCCTACTGTAACTACAGCTTTTGATTTGTATGTTGTCTAGTGTGCTCTTCTATTTTCACACGAGTGTCGGTCAATACAAGTGTATTATAGATACTGTTTCTACAGTCTCGGGGATTTCCTATCTATTTATTTCTCTGTATTACACAGAACTGTGGGAGTTTTTGAAAAATGACCTTGACTCTCAGGTCGACCCAGCTTTGAGGGGGTATCCGGTGACGTCCCTGGAAGTAAAGGCGGCCGGCGTAATGCTGACCACACCACCCATCTTGTGCAGATTGGTCTATAAAATTATAGGTCAAGCCTTATAATCCCCGTACGCCTAAAAACGTGGAAAAGGGAATTTTACCATTTACACAGAACTACGGCGCGATTTCCGAAACAAGTGAGACCAACTTGAGACTTGCAAACGCTGTTTACTAATGAGGATTGAGGCGCAACCATTGCCTGTCTCTCTCAGGGCTGCCAATGCTGGGTTTTTACCCTCAGATCTAGGTTTTTATTTGACGCCTTGAGCTCAAATTTTGAAATCGGGGTGTGTTTTTTTTTTTTTTTTTAATATCTCCTTATATAAAAGTGGGTAAATGTTTCGTTTCGTAACTATTAAATTTTTACTTTTTAACAGTCTAGGTTTTGAGTGTGTGTGTGTGTGTGTATACATATTGCTTGTGTTTTTTTTTTTTTTTTCAGTTTAGCTGGTTTTTTCCAAAAAAGCCTATTGGCAGCTCTGGTCCCTCTAGCTTGCGAACTGAACCGCCATGATTTGCTTGCTATCTGCGACCAGGGAGAGTACATTTTCCTAGCGGCGCCCGACTATCTGGCATTGTTGTGCGCCCCGAATTATCAACAGATGGGGGGGGGGGGGCAGAGTATTGTTTTAATGAGGGGCGGGGGCGGGAGGAGGGAGGAAGGTACTTATTCATGCCTGGCATTTATAAATATTCCATGACGCATGATTTTCGTTTAGGCAGCCAGACTGTCGGTCTGGACTGTACCAAATACTACAATGGTCGGATCTGGCGAAAGCAAACCAAGTGGTGGGTTTAATATCGGTGCATATTAAACGACCTATTGGAACTTATAAACCGCAAGGGCGCCAGAACTCCGGCATCTTTAGCACTGCATCCCCCCCCCCCCCCCCACCGGGGAGGGGAGGGGGCGGCAAGCAAAGTGGTCTACTTTGTCCGTTTACAGAAATCCTCGGGTGTTTTTGGCGCCCGATAGTTGAAGGGGGGGGGGGTGGGGGTGGGGTGGGAAAAGAGAACAGACACACTGTCCCCGTAACAATCATGTCGTAAGATGGACTAATTAGGGGTTCCCTTCGAAATCGAATGGGCTGCGTAGTATCGAGGGCTAGAGGTTCCGAGTTCAAACCCGGGTAGGGTCTGGCATTTTTTTTTCATGTGGACTTGGCCTTCTAGTATTTGCCTCTGGTCTACCTGTGTGCATCGTTCCGCACATAAAAAAAAAAAAAAACATTCCTCGGCACTTGGAAATCGAAAGAGTAGCCTAACGGCGTGTCGCGCGCCCACGTGGGTAAATACACTGATATAGTGAGGGTGTGGGTTTGAACCTTAACAATGCCCACCCACGTGAGAAACTGGACTATTATCTAAGCTATGTTGATCCTAGACAGTCCTGGA